GAAGGAGGCAGGTAGGGGCGCAGGTCAGCCCCAGCACTGTGGGGAGCTGGTGGGGAGCTGTCCCCCGACTCCACCACTTCCCACCATCCATCCTAGGTCTGGTCAGCAAGGTCTTCCCTGTGGAGAAGCTGCTGGATGAGGCCATCGCCTGCGCGGAGAAGATTGCCAGCAACTCCAAGCTGGTGGCCGCCATGGCAAAGGAGTCAGTCAACGCCGGTAGGAGCTAGGGGGACACCAGGAAACCCCTGGGGGGACACGGGGCCAGGCAGCAGGGTGTCCTCAACTTATCCCTTACTCTCAGCCTTCGAGACGACGCTGGCAGAGGGGACCAGGACAGAGAAGCGGCTTTTTTACGCCACCTTCGCCACTGTAAGTAGGGGGGTCAGCCCCATTGCGGGGTGGGGGTTAGCCTGGCTGCCACAGCGCCCCCCAGCCTCACTTCTCCGCTCCTCACAGGATGACCGCAAGGAGGGGATGACAGCGTTTGTGGAGAAGCGCAAGGCAAACTTCACCGACAGCTGAGCCCGGTGTGGTCCCGGTCCCCGTGGCCGCCTGCGTCACCCTGCCAAGGGGGTCCGGACCCGGCAGTGAGCACTACCTGCCTGGGGGTGAGACAGCCCAGGGGACCACCCTTGCCATCCGTATTAAAAGGTTTTCCTGGCGCTGCTGGGAGGTGGGGTGTCCTTGCTGTGGGGTCCCCCCTGAGCTGGAGAACGTTGGGGTTCACCGAGACCACCCCACTCCATCACACTGCTCTCCAACACTGGGCTGGGCAAGAGCAGCTGTGTTGTGCAATAGGTCCATGTGTCCCCTGGGGAGGGGACAGCCTGTGGCACCTTGGGTGCAACACTGATGGGCTGAGTTTGTCCAGTCTCAGTCCCACCTTAGCTGACCTGAGGCCAGGGTGATGGGCTGAGTCCTCCACCCCAAAGCATCATCCTCACCCTGCCCAAGGTCTCAGGGTGAGCCTGAGGAGAGAGATCCCCTAGATTTGGGGGCTCTGCTCTTAGCAATACATTTCTGGCAGCAGTGAGGAGCCCACCAGGATGTGGAGGAGGGACTGGGTTTATTGGAGGGCTCAAGGGTGCGTAGGGAGAGACGAGTCCCCTCGGGAAGCCCCAGGGGTGGCTCCCACCCCTCATTTCACAGCCTGGGAACCTATCCTCTCAACTGTGGTGGAGATGGTCACGGTCCTGCTCCGGGCCACTCTGCACCTCCAGGGCCAGTGTGCGGGATGGCCCATGGGCATCGACGTCCATGACATCATCCTGGGGGTGGTGGAGGTGGTCACGGTCCTCCTCTGGTCCCATTGGGTCTTGGTGGGGGCCCCATGCATCCCAGGTGCTGCTGGAGAAGACCTTTATACGTGGTTCCACCTCTTCAGTGATCTCGCCTTCCTCCGGTGGCTCCACAGCTCGGATGCCCAGGATGCTGGAAGAGGGGAGGAAGACCAGGAAGGAGAGGTGGCAGCACAGCAGGGTTCTCCATCCCCCCTGCCCCAGGGGAATCCCAACCATCGGGGTGCAGGGACCCTGGCCAGACCCACCCCCAGGAGGCTACAGCTGGGGTCTTGGGGAGCAAACAGGCTATTTTAGCCGCTTATCCTGCGAGCAGGTGGATGAATCTGGGACCTGGGTGCTGCAGCACCTGCAGCTCCCACCGCTCCCAGCAAAGGGAAACCAGCCGGGCTCGGTGTGAGTTTGGGTGGTATTGGGGGGAAGATGGTGCTGGGAGCCCCTTAGTTTTGGGGCACACAGAGCAAGGAGGGAAGTTTATTCCCCTGTGAAACACTTCACATTTTGTGGTGCTGGTTGCTTTTCAAGGCAGATGCGGACACCCAAAGGTGTAGGGAGCATGGCTAGCTCTTACATCTCCTTGGCCACATCCTGCTCCACGGCCAGGTCCTTCTGTCCAGTGTCACTCAGAGCCTGAGGGGAGAGAGGAGGGTGGCACAGATCATGCGTGGGTCTCCCTGTGCCCACTCATCACGTGGGGCAGTGGGAGGGTGAGGCGGAGGGTGGGGGCTCACCTGGGTGCCCCTGGGGGCAGGCAGGAGGAGGGCAGCACCCAGCAGGATGGTGATGC